AAATACAAGAACAAAAGAACTAATAATAGAATTATGCATGAAATAATGATCGCATATCGATTGAGCTGTATGAAGAACGTTAGAGCTGTAATAACGGCGAATGAGTGGTCCGCGACAGCCGCGTGCGGCAAATCGATTACCCAAAATCGTTCCCAACGCCCGTCTCCCGACAGAAAGTGGCAAACATGCAAACCGACGGACTGGTTAAAAAATAAAACGACAGACTGTCTTACAAACCGACACACCAAGTTATAAGCATGATATGTTTCTAGGGGGCATTCATATAGCCCGGTCTATGTGCCTTATATAGGAAAGTGAATGGTGGTTACGAGTGCAAAAAATGCATCATATAGCCTTTGTACGTATCCTTTGTACGATACACAGACGAGGCTTCATACAAAGTGCATGCCTTGGCTAGGCTGCTGTTCAGTCCCGCAGTTTGAAGAGTATGGATAGGTCCTGATGATGATGTACAGTTGGCATGAACATGGTCATGGATCAGAGCTCCCTATAAGGTCCTGTATCTTTGTGTTATTGTGAACTCTGTTTTTTCTCTTTGCATACACGCCTGCAAGTGCCTCATTGCAACAGATCTTCACATTCTCATTTCATTACTTATCGGTGTTGCCTGTAGCGCTATTGGATTCTAGTACACGCAATGTATACACAAGATGACAATAATTGTTAGACTGATTGATATTGTTTGGAATAGACTTCGTAAGTCCAGTGCATACAAGTGGAGCAGACAGCTTGTAGTTCTGGTTGTTAACTTCGGGTCTAATTTCAAGTACAGCATGACATATAATAACTACAGACGGAAACTCACGCGTCGCGAGACAATTACAACTTTGTGAATATATGATTACGCTCAGGAGAAAATCTTCTGTTTGATGAATACCTGCCCGTGGTGTGGCTTCTCTAGTGGTAGAGCTGACTGCTGATCCTTTGAGATTAACGTAGTTCAAACAAAATAATTGAAAGATTTTGCAAGTCTGGATGATGAAAAGTAGAAATTGTAAGAAAAAAGAGCGATCGATTTGAAATAGTTAACTATAATTTTTGATTCGCTTGATGAGTGTTGGGTCTTTTCATACTCTCCGTTCTTTGGCTATTCCAGTTCATACTTCATTTTGACAGCTTTTTTTTTTGCACTAAATGGCTTTCCATTGCACTGCGCCCGTGGGCCCCCCGTTCATCATTCACCCGAAAACGGATAAGATTTAAATTACGTACTGCTCGTATACCAATCCCTCTAGCTCCCATTTTTTATACTTCTCAGCCTGCCCTGCCTTTCACTTTACCATAATCCGTTAGCATACGCCTTATCCTCACCAGGTTTCCTTCCTTATAATTTCCCCCACTATCGAAATAGCACGTCGAGAGGGTAAGACGGTAAGAAAAATCAAATGAGATCTTCATCTTCGCCGTCTGAGGGATGCGCCCCTCACTCGACTTCCATCCAAAATCGTAATGTTGCATTGAATGTGTATGTGTCCTACACAATAACTTGGCGTAACCAGCGATATACAAATTAGTGCTTTTAGACTCCCAGACGAGTCTGGTACCAATTAAGACACGAAGGGATGGGCTTGTTGTGTTTTTCTATGCAGATATTGAGCCGGGAATCAAACCGGGACCGTGCATGTAGGATGTGCGCCGCTGCCACTAATCACCTCATGGATGTGGGAGGCAAAATTTTTTATTGTACTGTGATCAAAATTGCTACTGGTCAAACAAGGTCGTATTGCGGACAAATTTGTTAAATACGGGCGGAGTTTTTGTTATGATGGAGTGTTTTGAGCGCAGAGCAGTGCTGTTCGCTTGTCCCGTACTTGCAGTAATGGTACTGTCTGGTGACTTGAGCATTTTCAGTCGAAAGGCGAAGACGCTACAACATCAACGATCGCATCAAGGAACTTGGATTAATGCTACCGAAATCGTCTGCAGAGTGAGTTTGCTTGTCAAACGGTCTACATTTTCCAAACACCTGTGTCTGAGGTGTTCGAATTATCTTCACTAAATTTAGGAACTTGCAGTTAAATGCAGGATTTAGGGATTTGAAGCTGAACAAGGGCACAATATTGAAAGCCTCGTGTGATTATATTCGGCAATTGCAACGAGATCGAGAGCTCATGTTAAAACAACAGGCTCATCAACAAAAACTCGAGAACGCTGCTAAGCAATATGCAGAACGCATACGAGTAGGTTCTTGCCTCTTTACAGTCATTTTGCCTCTTTTGAATGCTTTCAATTAATGTGTTTTTCTAGGAGCTGGAAGAGTGCATGGCGCGACAAGGTGTGCAACCTCCTCCGGCACATTTGCCTCCATTACCTCGCCTGACCAGTATCGATCGACCGATTAAGCAAGAAATGGACGACACCGCATCTCCCAATCATACTCCCTGCGGCTCTCTTGTAAGTCCTTTCATTTTATCCTAACAGGAGTTGAGACCAACTGCTGCTTTCAGTCTTCATCTGGGTTCATGTCACAGTTGTCCGATGGAACGGCAGCCATGCAAATAGCTAGTCCTCTTGGCAGACAACCAATGCAGGTAGCGACAAGCCACTCGGAGAGTTACTTTTCAGTTGGTTCAAGCAGTCCTCCCGATTACGGTGAGTCGTTATGATGACACCTTCTTCCATGTTAGTCTGGGAGGGGAACCCCGAGTGGTTGTTTTTCGAATAAAACACAAAAGCTGAGAAACAGAACCCGTATAGCTGCGGCCATGCGCAGGGAACGGTTTACGGTTACTCATTGAATTCAAGAAAGTAGTACCCGACGAGTCTCCATATCTCCGTATAGCTTCTGTTTCCAAGGAGGAACTGACAGTCGAACCCGGGTATGACCGCAGCTCACCCACTATGATGACCTTTTTTGTTATGAAGATTGACCTGAGCTTTTTTCATTTCCTTTCTTCCAGCGTTTGCACGTTTTCGGCTATTCTCCAACACATTTCCTATTTCCGAAGTAATTCTTATGATTCAATTTTCTGCCTTAGAATTTCCCCGTCTCCATTTTTGTTCCGCTGCATAGATCTGAAACTGTATTCAGGAACACCAAACACCTGGCGAGACCACAATATGCAACAACCCTTTCCCGACTTGATGATGGACGATATGGCGACATTACAGGTATTTCTTGACAGTTCTTCCCCATTTGATTTATTTGTTAGCACCTCCTTTCTTTTCCCGAACATAGTCTTTTGTCAGGGAGGCAATCCTTTGCTGACGGGGGATCCGTTGATCTCTCAAGCTGGTGCCCACCCTTCTCCACACTTAACTGGTGGCAGTCAGATGAGCCCGGATATCCAATGGGATCAATCCGGCTTCAGTCCAGAAGGCCACAATGGAATCCACCAACAGCATATGGATTTTTCATAAGTCCATGTGGTGAAAAGAAATGCCGTCATGGCTTAAGCCCATGAACTCAATCCGGTCTACCCATATACATATATCACTGTATTTTGTACAGTTTTTTACTCGTACATTACTTCAATAGAGTAGATTATCTATATTCATATGTTGTATTGATTATTTTATTGTAATAATCTGACTTTGAAAACTATGTATTATTTGAGTTGAAGAGATATGATGGTTACCGTTACATGGTCCGTTCTTCGTTGATCCACATGTACTCATTCATCCGTTGTGTATGATGATGTTGATCATTGGTCCTCGCTTGGTTGCGAATGGAGCAATGGCTTTGAGCACTATGTGCTACGGCATGCTTCATTCGATTTCCCTTCGGGTCCTTCGACAAGAATCGTTTCTGTGCAGTTCTGTACCTGTCATCGCGTTTCTAGACTTTTTTCAGGTTCATTTTCGTTGTTTTTGATTTCAATGTCTGGCTTTGCTGTTTTTGCTTTGCTGTTTTCACATATTGCGTCCATTTCATGTCATCATCGTTATTCGATTTCAATTAATTTGTACAGTGTGTATGTGTCTGTTCGTCTGTTCGTCTGTCTGTATGTCTTTATGACTAGGAATGATCATGATGCGTTGTATAGGCACCGTTTGTTGGCACATTGACGTACAATACGAGTCGCCTACCCGGATTCGTGTCTGTTTTTCCTCATCTTCGCCATTTTTGCAGGGATTCCCCGACCCCAGATCTAGTAGCGTTCGTCCCCTCTCCCCCGCCTCCCGTTCTTCCCCAGTCATGAACATATTCCATGTCAGATGGGTTTCGCCTCGTCCTCGTTATCTTGGTTGCCTCGTACGTTACACGCTGTCCGCCGTTCCCCTACCTTCTTCCAACCTATCCTCTCTCTCTTTTCACAGCTCTACTCATGTGGCATACATGCGACCTCTGTCCCATTTATTTGTTTCACTAACTTGGATACTACTATTTCAATGTACACGTGTACATAGCGAGTTATGACTCAGCGACCTATGCCCTTCTTGTTTTGCACGTTCGTTAGCCGAGTGGTGTCATCATCCTCGCAGTGTCGTGGTATCAGTTGTGGTGACCGATCGTTGCGTCCCCTTCGGCACGTACTCACTGAGCACTTTTGTGTCTTCTCCCTCAATTCTCCAGCTGAGACCCCACTATTCATTCGACTGTTTCACAACCTTCAGAGATGAGCAGTTTCCAAGTGAACATCCGCTAAAGTGCTGTCGACAATTGTAAATGATAACTTTGGAAGCTGCATAAAGCTATTATAAGAGAAGTTGTGTAGCAATATTCTAGTCGTGAATGATTTTGATACCGTGTTCTGCGAGGTTGATGCTTGCTGTTGACTCGCAATAGAATCGACAACAAACAGTTCGAATATGTGACAATGTTGTAAATTTGTTAGAAGTATTGGGACAGAAGTGGGAACATTCTGTGATGTCCTTAGTTCTGATCTCTGACTGGAAGCTAATAGTATGTTTCGATGTCCGCTTAGTCTTTAGTGATGTATTCGTAGTACTTGATCGTCTGCAGGTGGTGAGCGACCTGGAATGCATAGCAAAGCCGCAGCCGTTTTATCATGAAGTTGAACGAGAAATAGCGTTAAAGGCACAGTTCACGATGTTTTGAGGTATCTTCTTTCAAGTTGTGAAGTGATAGTGTTGATGTAGAGCAGCGCGGTGTTGGCAAAGGAAGCGACAAAATCCGCCAACTTCGCGATAAATAAGGCTTGCTAAAAGTAGTGGAATAGAAGGCGTACAAGATTACCACGACAGAACTGGCATGGAAGGATCATTCGGACGAGATTCAGTTGTTTCAACTGCGCAAAGAGCTGACTAGATCAAGCTAGAATAGTCTTGCCTTCCACATCGCCGTGGGTTACTACATTTGCTTGAACTCTCAAACAGGTGTGAAATTTCGTGACCGAATTCCTCAAATCAGTGGGAGCACTGAGATGTTGCTCAGACTCCCCAATTTTGAACGAGAGCTGAATGCTTGGCGCAATTCGAGGCAGTTTGTCAAAGTGAATATCTTTATTTACAGAAAAGCTGTGCAATATTTTAGCAGCGAGTGATGTTGCTTTGTCTGTTTCGCTCTAATTGCTTAGGGAATTCCCTTAAAGAGTTTTTTGATTCCCTTTTTCTTTTTTATGGCCTCCGATAGTGTCGAATTCCTCAAGGAAAGCAGTCTTTGTTTCGGGTTCCAAATGCATTTTCTCGGACAGAGAACCGACCATGACCAGAAAGTTTGAAGTACAGGTAGCGAAACCACTCGTTCGTTTTGATCGATGACATGAAAGCGCTGAAACGTCACGTTAAAGAAAAAATATGAATTTTTATGCAGCCTCAAGTCCAGAGCACGAGTTGTCTGTTAGCCATTTCGATCGAAGGGATCAAATGCAAGGTCCGGTACACATTTGGAAGCTCATGCTATTGGTGTTTTTAATAGCACGCTACTGTTTGGTATAGTAAATGGCTCAGTGGATTGACCCCTTTTTGTGGTACCCCTTTCTGTTCGGAAAGCGGAAGTGTAGGTTGGGGATCCGTAGTGAAGAAAACGAAAGAATTCGCTGATTTCGAGAAAATCTGGGCTCCTTAAAAGTAGAGAAAATAGGGTTGGACGAGATTATCATGATGGAAGTGGCATGGAAGGGGTATCCGGACGAGATTCCAGTTGTTGCAATTGACCACATCAAGGCAGAACTGTACAGAACTGTCTTTACTATCGCTGTGGGTCATGGCAAGTTGTTTGAACTTCCTGCATCGGTTCCCCAGTGGATGGTGCAGCCTCCACAATGCCGTTGAAACTCGTCCACTGTTGATGTGGCATTCACATGATACAATCTCTGGCCCCTTTTTGTGGCCTGTACGGGACCGTTTTCGACATTATTGCAGCAGGTGTGGTATAAGGCGAGACCTCTAAGTCATACTATGGGGGAATCACAGAAACCATTTTTATCGTGAACTGAACAGCCTTTGAAGCATGCCTTTGAAGAAGCTTGTTGCACCGATTCATTCTTTTCAGACGGAGTAGGTCAACACTGAGAACTTCATACTCCACTCCTCCGCCTGCTGTACATCTCAGCTAACTAAACAATCTCTTTTGTTCTTCTCTTTACTTTCTCCTTCGCCCTTGCTCCTACGACAATCTGATCTCTCTACAACGCGCTCTTTATATTGACACCCACTACAGCTTACGGATGATACATCACCTGTAGAGGTAATTTTTATGGGCCTGCACCACCTAATCTCGTTTAGTGACTCTTTCTTACTTGAATTTCAGAACCACTGTCTGCGTTTATTAGCTTTCTGATTGAAAAAACACCGCGAGGACAGCCGGTTCCAGCGTAATGCGGCTAGATACCGTAAGGGTTTAAAGTGGTGGTTTATCTTCGATACTAGAAACCGACGTATGCATCGTCCGGATTACATTGTAGTCGAAAGAGTCGTCCCCCGCAGTGCCAGCTGTGCACGTCTTCCGATTGCAGAACATCGCCATGGCATCTATGAAGAACGGGTGTCCAGCCTTTTTCAAGCTCTCATTACAATCGCAGAACTTGTGCTCAGAACATGCACACTTCAGTCTTCCATTGTCGACATCCGTTTTGCACTGAAAAGGTTCACGCATCCCTAACGATTGCATTTATCGACGAATGCCCCTATGCATGGCCCACTAGGGCAATCGTCATTTGAGTAACAGGTTTCGAATTCCTTAGAACCGTTTATATGCTCTGTTCCTATACTAACAACTGGCGTGACAGTACCTGATTCAGGGGATCCTTCTAGATCAGCTTTGGGTTGCGTAATGGTTGCGTTGACGCTCGGACATTGAGACACTGTTCTGCCCCTGGCGCTTCAGTGCCACTCTCTTCGCTCTTAGTCCCATGAGGTTTAGTCAGGGCTTGGGTAATAAGTAAAATAGTAATGCCCCCCCGTAGTAATAAGAGAGATATATAGCTGATGGCGTCAAGTCGATAATGAAAATGGCTCGAAGGCTTTGTCATCCAATTCAGCTTTAGCTTCTCAAGAGCCGCTTATGTGGAGAGGCAAGCTGCTCTCTATTTATATTTCTTCTACGTTCTTCAGGAACCAGTTCTGCGGTCGTAAGTTCATACGAGTTGACCTTTCCCACGTGACAAACGTAACCGCAGTTCGTGTCAGCATAGTGCGTTAGAAAGTGGGTTGAAATCATTGAGAGTTGTAAGCCTCGTTTTCTCTTTCTTTGAAGTTCACGAATTCTTTCGGCGGTAATCTAACCTACTCCTGAAATGCGTTCGACTTCCACTCGAAATGGTGATGGCGACTTGAATGCGTAATTGGCACGTATAATGACTCTGATGGCCACTTGATGTAGGAGTCAATGCTTTTATCTTCCCAGACGAGCCCAATAACAGCTGAAGGGAGCGACCGAAGGCTTGATTGGTCGGGCGGGTGTCGGACCATACTTGCGATAGTGCACCATTCGCCACTACATAATCGCTTATCTCCTCGAATAGATATGCAATGAATTTTCGGAACCGATCAAGTTGATGTCCCAGATTTTTTTATTCTCTACTCATTGGATTTTCCAAGGCGACATAATGGAACTCGTATAACAAATGAACTTTTTATCCTGTATACTGATTTGTTATCACTGGTGCCATAAAATTGCAAAATCGATTTATACGTAGAAAATATTATATTTCGTGGAATAAGATTTAGTTCTGTCTTCGTCTATTCCTCGAGTTTTGAAGGTTTGCGTATTCGATACTAGCTATGGTTCCTAGGGATTTTTGCCTGAAGACTGCATTCATCCCTTTCATCTCAGTGAATGCAATATAGAGAACGATCAGTTTCGGACAATGTTTCTAGGGGTTTCTAGGCGCGTTTCATTTCCATACAAAGTGAAAAGGACAACACAGTGAATCGCCTGTTTACCTAAAATAGTGCTACGAATAAGCTTTATTTTCCCAAGCTCCGGGAAACCCACTTTATGGCAGCGTTTTTCA